CCATAGGGAAAGATAATGGAAAGAGAATAAATGACAACATCAACATGAAATTTACTTCAATGGTATCACAAATTCTTTGCCATTATGGACTTAACAAGGTCAAGAATACGAAAGTAGTCGTAAAAAAGAGAAGAATGCTCTCCCTCTAAACCATCTCGAGTGTAACGGTTGCTACCCGTCAAGTTATTGCACGGACTTCCGCCGATAACCAGATCAAACGGTCCAAATTGCTTCATCAAACTTTCGAGCCTATCCCCGTCAAGCTGCTGCACATCATCCAGGTCAATCAAATTTCCCTTCTGGTTAGTCTGCTCCCAAAAACTTCTCACTATATTTCTATTGATGGCTGACTTCTCAACGGATACAACCGTCTTCAAAGGGATTTGCAGTCTGTGGAGAGCTACTTCAGCTCCACCAATGCCGGAGAAGAGAGACAACAAATTGATCCCATTAGGAAACATCTTCTTCAGGACAGAAAGATGGTAGGCCACAGTATTAACCTGGAATGAATTCCCCAATGATTTGTACCTATCAGTCCTGCTAATGCCGCCGCCTCTGGTATGATTGTTTGGGAAACCAAGTAACATCTCAACTTCATCGGGTTCAAGCGGCGCCGCCTTATGATGCCCCACCCACACAAGGTTCCACTTCCTACATTCCGCAAGCACGTACTCTTGCACACTTGCCGGAGGATTATCACCATAGTTTTCCAAAGCCTTTCTGATCCTTTCTGTCAACTTAGCACTGGCAATGCAAGTCTGCAGGCAATTGAGTTGAACCCTCTTGTCCCATTGAGGCCACCATCGCCTTGTCATGGGTAAAGCCTCTTGGATGGTTTTTGCAGGAATGGGGAGGAGAGGAAACCTGTCCTCAATTGGGAGGTTATGGATGTAAGCCCTCTTCCGGGCGGCGGCACAGAAGTACTTCGAGTCGACGAATTCAGGCTCAATATCGTAGAGAAATCGTGAGATGGTTTCCCAAACTCCCTTGGGTGCGAGAGCGACATTCTCATAATAGAAATATGGGGGGCCAATGGCTGCATCTGGGAGGTTTCTTCGTGCAATGCACTTCTCGTTAGGGAGGCCAAAACCCACCATTGGCTTTGGAATGGACATCGAAGCATCATCAAAATCCATGGTAGATTTTCTCACATAATCCCTTCTCCTTTTCGAGAGGCAGCTATTCCTCAACTTTGGTTTTACTTCAATTAACCTCCTCTTCTTTCTGGAACAGTAGCTGGATCCTTCTGCAGCCTGAGGGAAACAAGAACATATTTATATGTGAAATAACTTGAAGTTAGTTCTTAAACAGATTTATGATCCGTTTAGAATGACTAATTTTTTTATAAATGTGTTTATAAAACTGTTTTGGAAAAAAAATTTATTTTAAAAACTGCTATATATCATATAAATATTTTCTATTTTAAAAATTGAGACATTAACTTTCTTACAGCTACCATACTTTAACAGTTACAGTTGTAAGACATAGCTTCCCAGCACAAATTTTAAAAAATCACAAGAAAGCAGCAGTCAAAGGAAATTGTGGTGGCGGCATGAAGACGCTTAAAACTATACCTCAAAACGAGGCTTTGGATAATCCCATTCTATTCCATCAGGTTCCTCGGCCATTTGAGCAGCATGAATGGAATCTGCAAGCTCCAAAACTGAAGAATTGGGTCCTGCATGAAATGAAACCCATGATACTCGCACCAAAATATAATAAGAAAATTTACATACATACCACACAACTCTTATGTATTTTTATATCTAACACGCAAAGTATGATATTTACACTTAAAACACAATGTGGCATAAACCTATACATGAAAAAGTGATATTTACTTTGAAAAGATAGTGATGGTGGTATTTTTTGTGTGTTAAAGATTTGAGTGGTAATGCATATATAAATGAATGGGTGTTAGATATGTAAATACATAAGAATTGTGTGGTATGTGTGTAAATGCCCCAAGATAATAGAGGATATGTAACAAAAAAAAAAAATTAGTGATTTTATATGTATACTAAATCGTGTGTATATAATAAATCAGCCATGGCTTCGGAACAAGCGCACCAACAAGAACATATCAATGATAAGTGTAGTAACATTTTCTTAAAAACCTAAAGGCTAAATGAGCCCATAGTAACTATTTATCAATTATTTAATTCACATGCACTACATAATATCATATATCATTAATATATGCCCTTCCACAGACCACAGATTCTACAACACTCAGCAGTCTTGAGCCTTTTTTTTCCCTCTTCAGTGATTATGACTTGTTACACACAGTGTTTCTTACATGGGTAAGTATTCGTAATTTTATTTATTTATTTTCAAAAGAATTTATTAATCATTAGTGAATCTTCATATTAAATTAATGTAATTTATTTTTTTAATTTAATAAAATAATTTGTTAGTACTTATTTTTATTATTAGATTACAAAAAAATTTCCTTGCAACTTATATATTATCTTATTTAATAAAAACTTATTCAATTGCATATTATTAACTAAAAAACTAAAAAAAACACAATGCAAATTAATAAAGACGAACTTAATATTCACTTCATACGCTTCTCAAAAGCATACTTCCAGATTTCCATAAAATGTGCTCTACTGAAGAAGGTTCAGTTGTAACTATTGCACTCAAATGTCTTTGGATATACTTAATTTCTTCTTTATTTCACACATGTTTTTGAATGACAATGTACTTTAATAGAAGGTATTTTTATATTTATGATGTAGATAAAATAGGTAGGAGCATTGGACAGAATTTGGACTGAACCGAAGTGAAACAGACCAAATGGAGCAAATGCGTTGATTGTGGTATGGCGCCTAGGCGCCCTCTTTTGGGCGCTAAGGTGTTGCAGTTGAACACCTTGGCGCCAGGTTCTGGGCACCCAAACTTTTCGAGCAGAAAAAGAGCCCAACGACTAGGCACCGCAGATTGGGCATGTAGGTGTTGCAGTTCAGACAATTACTTTCTGCACGACTGTTGGAGTTTTGACAATCCTAGGATTAGGGAAGAAGTTCCAAGTCCTGGAATTCTCCAAGGATAGTATGTAGGAGTAGGAACTCTTGTTCTAGAGAGATCTGAGAGGAGAATTTGAGTGAATCTGTAATGGGTTTACAACAACATCATGTGTAGCACTGTGGAAATCAACGTCCTGTGGAGTTTGCTACTCTTTTCAGAGGGCAAAAGCTAAGTATCGTGTGTAATCTTATTTGATTATTGTTGTAAACATATATTTGGTTAATTTGCTTGGATTGAATGAAGTTTTCTTTAATGTTCATCATGTGTAGTGAGTAAGATTTCTTATACTTTTCTCTTGTGAAAGATAGGTTAAATTTGTAGGGTTGTGAATGCTTTGAATTGATCTTTATTTTCATGTGATGAGTATATCTCTAGACTTAAATCACATGTGTTGGTCATATAACTTGTTAAAATTAGTTGTGACCCATTAGGACTCAAAAGAGCGGTGGCGAAACAAAATATAATATTTACATTGTGCGAATGGCTATGAAAGATGAGTCGTGAGGCAAAGCAATTTAGGGAGATGTAGTTTGAATTAGGAGTTTCACTAGTGACAGACGAAAACAATTACCTAAATTTTAATCATACTCATTTATGCACTCGAAAGAGGGTAAATGAGTTTTATGCTCCTGTTGTCACTACCACATTACAATTCTTAGTATTAACACCTACAATCTACCTAGGAAATTACAAGAGAGAAGTACATTTATCAATCTGAATTTCACTTGTTTAATTGCACTAGGCAAGTTTAACTTAGGGGTAGATATATACTTAAGAGTAGTTGTTAGAAAAACCATATTTAGCGATCTTCCAAACTAGGACCTGAAAATAATATGCTTGAATTCACCCTTAGGTTGTTATTACTATGAAGTCTCTGTCCCCTTTCATATAGGATCGACATTATGGACACAAGTAGAGTCCTATATTACGAAAGTGATATATGCACTTGCGTAGGAACTCTGACACTTTTGTGAAGATTGTAAGTTAAATTAAATTATCATTAAAGTGTTAGTAGTTTTTGGGGCCGTCATGCGTTTCTTGCAAAGCAATCCAGAAATTATAATAAGTTGGAGTTATTTCACCAACATATGAGATACCTCTGATATCCATCATTAATAACAGACATACGATCTGTTTGGGCAGCTGTAACTAATTGAAAAAACTGCGATGAAAATGCTGAAGAAAAAATTGTTAAAAAAGTTGTGGTGGCTATTACAAAAAAAAATAATTTTTGAAAAATCACAGCTTTCTAGCAACCACAGCAGGTAGCAACATCTGGTGGGAAAATGTAACTTTAATAAATAACAAAAAAATTTAACCAACAAATGATGGTTCAATTCAATTCACATTTTAGTCTTTTTGATATTAATAAAGAACAAAAAAATTTAGGGGGTTTGAAACGTGCAAAGGATAGTAGAGATGATTGAAATAGAAAAAAGCAAGGGAGAGTCTACAAGCGATCAATGTCAAATCACACTCAATCGATTTCGCACATAGGGAAGACGGGCGAACTAAGCGCTAGAGACAGAGAGAATTAAGCAAGCTCTAGCTCTATGGACCTCAAGCGGCAAGAAGTGTGAAGATATGGCCTCGTGCCAATCCAAAAGAGCACATTGATGCGATTTTTGAGCAACTTACACAAGCAGCTTGGGCAATGAGCAAAGCATGGGCAGACCATCAAGTGAGTCAAAAGGAAGTTAGGTTAGGGCATGTGAGGTGTTCGAATCGGGGCGTACAAAGCTGACCATGAGCAAGCTTGATAGAAGAAAAATTAAGTTTCAAAGTATTGAAGTAGTTTCAAGATAAATTGCAAACTAATTATCATACATTTATGTTAAAATTACTATTTCAAATTTATTATTAAATAATATTTACATTCTCATAAAATTCATTTAATCTTAAATAAAAGACAGGAGCAAAATTAAGTTTTAAAGTATTGAAGTAGTTTTAAGATAAATTACAAACTCATTATCTTTCATTTATGTTTAAAATTATTACTTTGAATTTATTATTCAAAAATATTTATGTTCTCATAAAATTCATTTAATCTTGAATGTTTGTTTACGTATGTTTATAATTAATATACCTAAACTCTTGTAACATACAGATAAAGCTTACTTTTGTATTCCTAACTGCCCCACAATGACGCTGCCATGAAACTCCTACAACAGTTTGAGGATGTACTCCGATGCCCTCGGTAACATGAACCTTCCCTCAGAGTAGTTGTTGTCCCCTCAATGCATATCATGTAAGATTGTTCAAATCTTGTAGCAACTATATCCTGAACTTCCTCAGCCCTTCATCACGTTCACTCCTGCGGCCCTGCCTTAGAGCTTCCCAATCTAAAGACCAGAGGTGTTGATAAGGCAGCCAGCTAGGGCTCATCCACCTTTCTTGATAGTACATCCGCAGATTTATTCTCCAGTGATGGGTGATACTGAATCACTGAACCTCAAAATCATATCCAAGTAACTTGGATGAACATCCCTAATGCTCTTCAATCACCAACTTCTACTTTAACAGATACTTCAAGGCCTCTAATTTGTCTTAACTATAAAGTGTCAACCAAATAGATAAGAATACCACTTTCGAATGACCAAGACAATAGTCATCAATTCTTGCTTGTATACTTATTTGACACTTGCCCTGGTAAAGAGTACTCGGTTGAAATAGGCAATAAAACAATAGATGGTCCTGCAAGAGCACTGCTCCCAATCCATACTCTGAAGCATCGGTCTCTACCATAAATGACCTACTGTGGAGGGCTAATCTCAGAATGTTGGTAATGACTCCCTTCAGTTGTTCGAAGGCCTATGTCGCTGCTTCCCCCCACTTGAAATTGTCTTTCTTCAGCTGTTCCGTCAGTGACAATGCAATCTTGTCATACCCTCTCATAAATTTCTAGTAGTACCCGCTGAGACCTAAGAACCCTCTCGACTCCTTCAAACTCCTCGACAAACGTCAATCCAACATAACCTTAATCTTGGATTGTTTTGTTGCTACCCCTACCCTAGTCAACATGTGCCCTAAATATTGCACATGTGATTGTGCAAATGAGCATTTATTCAAGTTGGCATACAGCTGGTGCCCTCTCAATGTCTAAAAAATTGTTATTAGATGTCCCACATGCTCGACCTTCGTGTTAATTAAATCAAGATGTCATGAAAAAAAACGGAACACGACTCTTAAGGTAAGGCTGAAAAATTTTGTTCATAAGAGACTAAAATGTGGTCGAGGCACTGGTAAGGCTAAACGACATCACCAAAAGCTTGTAATGTGTGCATCGATTGAATTTATCCTGACCTGGTGGTATCCTGATTTCAGGTCAATGCTCGAAAAATGATTCTTCAACTCCTCAATCACCGGAACAGGAAACTTGTCCAATATTTTTTTCTTGTTCAGAGACATAGTTCACACAAAATCTCCAACTACCATCATTTTTCTTCGCTAATAGAATTTGACTAGAAAAGGGCTAACCCTAGGCATGATAATCTCTACTTTGATAATCTCTCGGATCAATCTCTCTATCTCTTCATTTTAAATCTGAGGGTACCGATAGGGTCTGACACTGATTAAAGGAATACCTTCCTTCAACGTAATGAAATGCTCATGCTCCCTCAATAGCGATAACCCGCTAGGCTGCTAAAAGATGTCGAAACACTGTTGCAGAAGATGTTGAACACACTCGGGGAACTCTACTAACTTGGGATCTCATATCTCATCTATGCTCTGCAACTCCAACAGATAGCCCAACCCTACTCCCTATATCGTCTTGTTCATGTTTTTGACTAAGACCATGGTTCTATACAAGTTAGCATCCCCGCTTAACACTACCTTTCTCCCCTCCACCCTAAGCTCCATCGTCAATGATTTCTAATGCACCTTCGTCTCTCTTATCATATGTAGTCACTTCATTCTCAGAATCACAACAATGCTTCCCAAATCCAAGGGAATGAAATCCTCTACCACCTGTAGACACTATAGTGTCAACCACAATGGCCTGCAAATTCCCCATCATGATCTCAAATCTCCTCGTATCTACCAACTTCAAATCCGACTGGTCCAGGACCTATTTGAGATGAAATTGTGAGTGACTTCGTTATCCACCAACACCAATATAGGTTAATCCCCGATTACTTTCCTTACCTTCATGGTGTGATTGGAAGTGAATCCCACCACTGTGTTGAGGAGCATCTCCGTTACATCAAAGTGTAAGTGCTTCTCTCCATCTCCCACTTCTTCATCCAACTCCTCACTATATGCCTACTCATCACAAATTGTAATAATGTGGATCATGTGATCATTTGCATCGGTGTACTGAGGCATATTTCTCATCAAATCGAAAACATAATCACTTTGTTCTCATACCTTACAGCCTTGCCTCTGTGAGACACTTGAAGTTGACCCATGGGCGGGCCCCCATATTCCTCTCCTTTGGTGCCTCCTTCTAAAATGACACCATCTAGGTCCTTAGGTCATGGTTGTCCTGGTACCCTTGTAAAATTCTCTCGGGTCCCTACTTTGGTGGCCTTCTCCGTTTGGTTCTTGCCTTCCACTATCGGGCGAGCTCCATCGCCTCCCTCAATTCTAATGGTCTTAACAGTCGAAATACTACACATATGTTGAGCTTTAAACCCTTCATGAAATTCCCCTCCAATCATGCTTCAAAAATCCATTCAACAGTCCTGACAATAGAACTAATGAGTCAAGGCATAGAACTACTCATGTCAATCTTCTCTAATGGCTCCAAAACATTCCAAAAAGCAAAACTTAGTCATCTCACGAGCTAATCATGCATCTTGCCTCCCCGATTTTCCCTTCCAAATATAACCCTACCTCCATGAGCTTCTCCTCCCTATTTGGGCCATTCACCCTAGCATCCCCCCCCCCCCCCCCCCCAGTATTTAGGGTGAAATTCCCTTTTCAATCATAGGCATACCCCCATCTGGTTTCCCTGCCATCTTTATGCTCCCCCAAACCCCTTGCATTATCCCACCTCCCTGTTTTGACCCAACCCAACCATCATAAATCTTGATCGTAGTCCTCGAGAGAAGTTCTAGATTGTGGATGCTTTTCCATCATGTTCCTCTCATTTGGTTTCTTTTCCTTTTGATTTATATAAGGATTTTCCAATTAACCATTGGCTATAGTTTGCAATTTGAGCCATCAGTAGCGCTTTGGATTGCATCTCGATAAGCATCCTCAACATCTCCTCCAAGCCCTCAAATCAGTTTTCCATGGAAGAAAACATTTCCTCTATGGTTAAGAATATTTCCTTTATCCTGAACTTAAGTTATCTTACTTCTCCTTCCAAAATCCCCTCTAAAGCATCAACAGTTCTTGTTGTTGTCTCTCCAAGATCGTGCTCTAATACCAATTTGATACAACCTGAAACTGAAAACAACGAACAAAATACAAAAAATCAGCAATAAAACCCATAGTCAAGCTAATTTTATTGATATCCAAGCAAGCAAACAAGATGTAACGGTGATCTAAATTTTGATGGGTAGATCAGCTCTCCACAAACCCTAGACACCACAGGAGCAAACAAACAAAACAAAAAATTGTAGAAATATAAAACATAACCCAAACTTTAGGTGACTAGCGCCAATAAAGCACCCCCAAAACACATTCAGATTTTCCCCTCAAATACATTTAAACTTTCGTCCAAATCTCTCCATAATTCCTCTCCTAACGTACATGAATATTGGTTTGAAGTGCCCCCCACCTGAAAACTAGAATCTTCTTAGGCAGTCGGTCGGCTTGGCTGGGTCGATCCCTCTTGGACCAGCATAACAACCAAGAGTTATCTACAATTCGAGAGGTAGATCTCCTCTCCGCAAATCCTAGACGCCGCAAGGAGCAAACAAACAAAAAGAGAAAACTGCAAAAATACAAAACATAACCCAAACCCTAGAAGACTAGCCCTAATAAAACACCCCCACCCCCCTTAAAATCTTTCCTTAATTCCTCTCCTTGCAAGGCGATTATTGGCTTAGCAGGCCCCATTTAGAAGCTGGAAACTTCCCAAGCAATCAGTTGGCTTCAGCCGGTCCCTCTTGGAACGGTATAACAATATGTTTGATAAGACAAAGTTTTTTTTCCCAATTACGTTCAGCATTAATTTGAACTTAATGCATCATATAATATTTAAACAATTTTCAATCAAAGTAAATTTTAGGATCACTAACTTCCTCATGGAATTCATTATCATCACTTCATCTGAGTGTTTTTGTCAGGTTCTATGCCAAATTTTTAGAAAGTGCATTAAATTATAGATAAGGTACTACTCATAGATTTTGCCCTTATTTTGCAAGAAAATTAATATATGGGGTTCGAAATTTCTCATAATTGCAAATCTGTATGATTAACTATCCCTTCCGATAACAAGAAGATAACACTTTCGACACTAGTCGTTAGAACGCTAAGTAGTTAAACTTAGCATATAATAGTAGGAATTTAAATTTTAGAAAGAGAAATTTATTATTGCAGGCATTAGAGGAGATGATGGGAAAATAATAACAAACCCAACTAAGATTCCTGATTCCATCGTCCAAGATTATCCTGGTCTCTAGTCTACTTAGTTGGAGGAGATAGTCGAGCCAACCTAATCTAAGAATTTTTGTCAACAATCACAGGTTGTTTCATCCCAAGGAATCTCGTAGTTTGTTTGTAGATGTTTCCCAAAGGGTTAAATTCAAATCAACCTTAACTAACAAAAGATTTTATGTTCTATCAAATATGTTCTATGATTTACAACCAAATAGGCAAGAAGCCATTGAGAAACATAAGAGGCATAGTCGTGACTGTAATATACTAAATATATTGAGTCAAACTACCCAATCAGAAGGCTATGGTAATAATCGCTATATGTATGAGTTGAGTCAAATCATGCGGACAAAGGACTTGAGTTATATCCTTATTGACATAAGATTGTTTTAAAGGTGGGTCTAATAGTGCACTTAACACTGCAGTGGTTATTTATGAGCATAGCATGACATCAAATTTGTCACAATCAACAAATTGTTGTGGAAGGGGAAAAGAGTTTATTTTAAGCTTTAGAATATACAATTTCATCTTATTATTTGATATTTCATAATTTAAAACATTAATTTTCCAAATAAAGCCCTCTGTTTAAGCTTGTATATCAGCACGGTCATTATCGGAATAGAAGATATTGTGTCATTTGGATTCTTAATTCAAAGGCTTCAATTTTAAGATTTGACCTCTTTCATTAAGATTTTTTATCAACACAGTTATCATTGGGATATTTCATTCACATCATTTGTATTAGCAATCAAATTAGAGCACATTATTTGAATATTTATTAAAATCATCAGTATTGTCGACTTTAGTTCTTCTAAGGAGAAGAATCAAACTAGCCTAACAAAGGCCTAATCTTGTCTACTCAAATCCTTGGCAGAGGATCCAAAAGGCTAAGAAGAGATACTAATAGACAAGACGACCCACTTGAGAGTGTGTTATTTAATTATTGAATTGTTTACATACATAGAACCCAAAACATTGCTATTTACAATCTAGCACCCCATTTCACCCATTTTTAAAATTCTCACTCAAAAATCAAAACTCATCATAAAAACCTAACCCATATTTTTCATTTTTATCAAATTCTTAATGGTTTGATCGTGGCACGTGTAAATACAACGACTTGGTAGTTCAAAAGTACCACTTGTGTGCGAGATTTTGTAAATAATAATATTTCAGGTGCTACGTATGTCCTTAATTAATTTAAATTTTATTTTGAAAATGAGATTTTACAAATTATAGAAATACTTGTAAGTTTGTCGAGAAGGATTAAATTTATGTTTGGCTATTATCAGGATGATTAGATTGACTAAATAAGTGCTTAAACTTGTCAACTCCAATCTTTATCGAGAAGGGAATAGATTTAAAGAAAATAAAACTTACAAGTTACCCTATAGACAAGGCAGCCCTGTCAAGAGCATTGTATGATATATAGAAATTTCTGCTCATTTTTTAAAAGTGGCTTTAGTTAGACATTAAAATGCCTATAGGGCGTTTTGAGATACTTAGGCAGTACTCGAAGCATAGTTTGAGTTAAATTAATTTAAGCCCACATAGCACTCTTGGAAGCTAAATTAAGTACTTGGTAGAATCATTGGAGCACATCACTTACTTCTAGATGTCTCAAGAAAATGATCTATGTCCGCTTGTACATATGTATTATTATGGATCTTATGGAAAATGATCTATGTCCGCTTGTACATATGTATTATGGATCTTATCGACGAGTTGATATCTATTATTGTTGTGCATTTCAATATTTCATTTTGCTCACACATGGACCTCATTGAGCATTCAAATGTCCATAATATCGCTGATTTGACTTTAAACGGGGGCTCTCACTTAGTCATTTTAGATGCAATCATAGTTTGAGGTATTGATTATTCTAATAGTCAGTAAGAGGCTCATTTGTGTGGTCCTGATTATTCTAATAGCCAGTAAGAGGCTCATTTGTGCCCACTAGCAAGAATTTAAGTTCATCTCAAGTTCTGTTCAAATTATTTTATCCTATTCAATCTTGTTTGTAAGTGAGCCATCGAGTCTCAGAAGCATCACCACTAGCATGATTGTGTCATTTTTCTTTAAATTTTGCTCAATGGATATTTTTAAGTTCTATTATGTGTAATTTTGTTAGATCAAATTTAAATAGGGTCCCAGCATTTTCACTACAAAGAAGACATTCACTAGAGCGATAAGTCTTTCCGTCAAGCTTAATATATCATGCATGGTCTATGTCTTGCAACACCACGGTCGTCGGTTTTTAAACCCATCACGTTTAAAAAAGTGCACAAACGTTCAGTATTTGCATAAGAGATACATTTGAGTTACTCTGCTATAATAGGACACTCACAAGTACTTAATTTAATTTTTTTTCGCCACCTTGGCGCAATTTATATGGGTAATTATTTTTATATTTTTCTCTGCCACATTGGAGCAACATTCGTGGGTACTTAGTTTTCTATTTTCCCCCGCTTTGTTAAAACGATGTGCACGTGTAAATAATTTTATAATTTTTCTCTACCACCTTGGAAAAATGTACACGTGTACTTGACATTGTTTCATTTCTTACATTTATAAATTACACGCAAAGTTGATGACAATAGTGTTGCAATAAGATGAAGATTTTTACGGGATCATAATGCAATTTTTTTGTGTTTGTTTATAAAAAGAAATGGCTACTTAAGTGGTCACAAAAGTTAGGTGCTTGATTGGATAGGAGAGGAAGGCGGGGGGCTAGATTTGAGTTGTTCGTTGAAGGTGTACAAAGCGAAAAAAAAAAAAGGAAGCGAGTTGTTCGTTGAAGGTGTACAAAGCGAAAAAAAAAGGAAGCAGGCTAGGGGCTCTAACGCGCCTTGAGTGAGGT